ATAACGTGTAAATAAGTAGCATATGGACGTTACAATTTAAATAGTGTATAAATAAATAACATATTATATAAATAACGTGTAAGTAAATAACATGTAGACGTTACATATTTAAATAATGTATAAATAAATAACATTTTATATAAATAACGTGTAAATAAATAACATATAGACGTCACATATTTATAGTGGTTGAATAAATAGCTTAATGACAAAATAAAAGAAAAAACGATGTATTATTCCGGGAGCTCGAGTCCCAATCGTCTCTTGCTGTTTTTCTCCCAGCGTCGCGAGTTGAAATCAAAATAAACAACTGTATATTAAAATTTGTTCAGTTACCGAAACAAGTGGACCGTAGGTTTTCCGAGAGCAGTCTTTAACTTCAAGTTTTTCTCAACTCACTCGTACTCGAGTACTCGTACGAGAGGTACTCGTATCCGAGTGTTCGGATCTGCACTAACTCGGTGCGCCTTTTACAGAGCCCACGGCTCACTCTTGCTCGGTGCACACGCAGCTACAATCGCCGTATGTAGGATTCCGGATTGTAAGGCCGGATTTCCAACTGACCTCCAAACTGTGGTCAGTCCTCTCACAAGCTACACCGGACTCTACAACGGTGTATGTACATACCCTACCGGGGAAATCCACCCACCTCTTAACCTCTATCCTCTTAAACCTTGCAAAAAGAATTCGATCTTTAAACAGAGTGAAACGCAAATTTTAGCCAAGTTAAACTCAACTAATCGTTTACGTTAATCGACTAATTAATCAGTTTCAACTGAAAGAGAATAGCAGGACTATCCTTCATGGATACAGCTTATACATATTAATTTTCATTTAGTAATTATGAGTCATTAAAATTGTTTAATCTCTGTGCACACATACTTTAATGGATCACCATTTTCTTTCTAATCCATAACAATTATACTTCGGACCTTTATCCAAATTGAAACGTTTATGGTATCGATTTAAAGGATGTGTTTTACATAAGCATTTATTAGATCATTTAAACATTGAAATATTCATCCAGCTTTTAATTAAGCTCATTACAATCTTTACAATGAGTCACGCGCATTTCTTACATTAGTTTGTTTAGTTTATCTATAGTTTGCATTTTTTTCCTATTACATTAATAATAATTTATATTCTTATATTCTTTTAGCTGTACGTATTTAATATAATATTGATACAGTAATAATTTATGTTGTTATATTCCTTTACCTGTACTTACTTAATATTTAGATTATGTTAGTAGTCATTTCTATTATAAAGTTAGATTAGTAATATTCAACGTGACTTAATGTATTAGTAGTTTAAAGTCTGATTATGCTTATTAAATGTAACTTCTGACTAGCTATCTCTATTAATAGTTATCTTTATACAATAAGTCGTACTACAAGATATGTTATTGGGTGTACAAATAAATCTCCGCCGTTTGAGATCAAATAGCGTAACCACTAAGTTGTGTGTGGCGAGAATGGTCCCTAGACAGATTCGCGACACTGTAGGTTTAGCATAGACTTAAAGGGCGGAATATAAACTGCTTTTATAGATGAAGAGAAGTGAAGCTCCGTGCGTGAGGGGGCAACAGGCAAGTCGGCCATTTTGTACACCCTACTAGTAGTGCAGCCTATCTGTAAAACTTATAAAAATTGTATGTACTCGTATTAACGCAGTCGTTGCGTCACGGCCATGAATATACATACATAAATGTGCGTACATACTACATACATTTGCATGATTGCGTACAGGGTGTCCCAGAAAAAGTGTTATAGCCGAAAATGGCAGATTGGGAGGGTCTTCCTGAACAGCAATTTCCTTTGGCAAAATGCAGAATGTGGCTTGGTTACCGAGTTATTAACGAAAAACACGGAACAATCAGAGCGCTCGGGATTCTTCCTCGGGAAGTCGAAAGGACAAAACACTTAACTTCTGATTGGTGCGGCTCTGGCACTGTTTTGCCAAAAGTTGTCCGATTGGCGCAGCTTTGGCAGAGCTTTTATGTATAAAGTCAGCACAGCCAGCCGACCAAGGACACTTTTCGTACGACTACGTTACGATAATATTGGAAATACGTGAGTTCAACACAGTGTTTGGAAGAACTTATTCTACACCCAGGGACGATCAATAAAGATTTCCTGAATTCAACTATACAGTCCACTTGTGTATATTTATTTCTACGTCGTCTACCCGTCGCGAACAACCGTCGACGCAACGACGCTGTTACATTTGGTCCTTCGAGCCGGATACTCCAGTTCCGGATACATCGACATCTATTCAAGCTGTTGGGGAGATATCGGATTCAGCTCTACTGGAAGATTAAGGCAGAAAACAATACCCAGGCTGCAGCACCAGGAATACGACATCCAGCAGCAGTCAGGATCAGCCGTTCCAGCCGGACAGACATCGTGTCGGTGAGTGTTAACGAATCATCTCCCATCCAATCCTCGGTAATTTCATAAATCCAATTGTTTCGATTTCAATATGGCACAAGCATCAGGATCAGCAGATTTTAAAATGCTTAAAAGGCAACGATGCAGTATAAAGGCTCAGTTAACGCGTCTATTGTCGTACCTTCAAGACACGGAAGAAGTTACGATCATCAATTTAGAAACGCGTCAATCCAAGTTGGAGCAGACATTCGATAAATTTTCAGAAGTTCAAATAGCTATAGAGGTATTAAATCAAGAAGCTGATCATTCGCAAGAATGGGAATCTTTCGAAAGTCAATATTATTCGGCCGCAGAAAGGATTAACAAACGTTTAGGGGAACTACGGAGTTCCTGCAGACTCGTTTCAACAATCAGATCAGTAGAGTCATCTAATGTAGTTAAACAAACCAATTCGCTCTTACGTAAAATAGAGATTAAACTGTTTGACGGAAACCCGCTTGAGTGGCATAGTTTCCATGATATGTTTAAAAGTTTGGTACATGATAATATAAAGTAAGTTATAAGTTTGGTACATGAATTTAATCGGTGTACAAAAGTTTCACTTATTAAAAAACGCACTCCGTGGAGAGGCCACCGCAGTCATCGATTCATTGAACACGACAGAAGACCATTAGCTGGTAGCTTGGGGTTTGTTATGTAAACGATGTAACAAACCGCGGAAAATTATTAACGCACATTTGAAGAAATTACTTAACCTTCCGGAGATCTCTCGAGACACATCGGCAAATCTTAGGCAACTCTCAGAACAGGCGCAAGTTCATGTAAATGCGTTAAAAGCGTTAAAACAGGCTGTAGAACATTGGGATACGATTCTCATTTATATAATCTCGTCGAAATTAGACAAAAATACACGTCGCATGGGAACGAACCCTAGAAGATGAGGAAATACCTAAGTTTAGTAGTTTTGTAGAATTTATAAACAAACATGCTCGCGGAGATGATCTCGAACCCGAGTTTTCAAGTTCATTAAAGGCAGCTGATAAAACACGCTCAAAGATTTATGGGCGTCAAACATACGTGACAACAAATGGGCAGAAGGTACTTTGCACTGTGTGCGGGGCAGAGCACTCAATTTACGCATGTTCCAAATTTCTACAGTTAGTAGTCCGTGAGCGATTAAACACTATAAAACGGGCGAAATTATGCATAAACTGTCTCCGGGCGAATCATACCGTTAGTAATTGCAGACAAGGGAATTGACGTAAGTGTAACAAGTGCATCACACTCTTCTTCATTTTCCAATTGAAACACAAGAGAGTACAATTGTATCGCAGCCATCCACTTCTATCGAGACAGTCAAGACGACGCTTACTGCATCTTATGATTCCGAAATATTGTTAGGTACAGCTCAGGTCAGAATCTTAGACAGAAACCATAAGGAACATGTTTGTCGTGTATTGTTAGACAGCGGTTCACAAACACACTTCATAACAAACAGATTCGCCGAAAAATTACAGCTAACCAAAAAAAAATAGATCTCTCTTTCTCTGGACTCGGCAATCTTAACACGACGGCCAAATATTTGATAAAGACGAGCATAAAGTCGGGAACGATTCCCTTTGAAGCGCAGGTAACATTCATCGCGTTACCCTCAATTACGGGCATGTTACCAACGCGTTCAATTAATCCCAATAGTTTATGTATTCCGGAGAACATTGAATTAGCAGATCCAGAATACTACAGAGCAGGAGAAATTGATGCACTTATCGGCAGCGCGTTATTTTATAATTTGTTGAAAGCTGAACGTATTGAATTGGTCGGTATGGCTTCGGTTATTCTTCAAAACACAGATTTAGGTTGGATAGTAATCGGTGAAGTAAACGTCAGGAAATCGAGTAAACCAATTAGAGCGTGTCACTTAGCCACGTGCCTTGACGCACAAATTAGTAAATTCTGGACAATGGAAGAAATTCCAGAAAGGAAAATCTTATCAACGGAGGAAAGGGAATGTGAAGCACATTTTACGAAGCATATCTCGCGTAATGAGCATGGTCGATACATTGTTAGACTACCATTCAATGATAAATTAAGCAGTTTAGGCGACAGCAAACAGATAGCCCTAAAACGATTTTATAATCTAGAACGCAAATTAGAGTCAAACATCGATTTAAAGAATCAATACACAACATTCTTAAAGGCGCCCAGTTCCACAACCAAGATTAGGGTCGTTTTCGATGCCTCTACAAAGGGGAATTCCGGATTATCCTTAAATGACACGTTATTAATTGACCCCACTATTCAAGATACTTTGTTTTCTATTCTCATTCGGTTTCTGCAACACACATTTGTCCTTACAGCAGACATAGAAAAAATGTACAGACAAATCCTGGTTCATCCCGTCGATAGAACATACAAAAAATTCTTTGGCGAGAATCTATAGAAAGACCGGTGAAAACCTATGAATTGAATACAATTACTTATGGCACAGCATCAGCTCCATTTTTAGCAATGCGCACTTTTCACAACAAGAACTTTCGCCAGCTTATTATTTTCGATTTCCCTTAACAACACATTTTCGATAATGAAAAGTGCCTTTGACTAGTTGAACGTAGTAAAAGATGTCCTACTTTTTTCGCCACTAATGCCAGATGGAATGCATACCGGCAGGTCGTATTTTACGCGTTCAACTAGTTACGCGTTAAGGGAAATCGAAAACAATAAGCTGGCGAAAGTTCTTCCGTACGGATTATGGCAGGGCTTTTACCTGCGTACAATGTGTCTACGATTACGGCAAAAGGCAATCCAGGCGTCGACGGTTGGTAGCTGCAAGTCGCGAAGATATCGGGTGTTTAACACGTGGGGAATGTTGTAAATATGACAAGGAATCGGAGGTCGAGTTTCTTTCAGGGATGTTAAAAACATTGTCATTAACGAATTTGACCATCGACTGGGGAAAAGTTTCCCAAAGGAAAGTTGTGAGAGACGGTTTAGTAGGTATCGAGTCGTGCACCTCAACTCAATGACGGATCCCGAAAAATCCAACAGAGTATTACGAAATGATCCGAGTATTCGCCTAACGCGAAGATGATTATCCACCGATTCCGATAGAAGGAGCGTCATTCCGATCGAGTCGCGCATCGTGTAGTTCACGGATAGTGAAGTTTATGTTGTGAATGAAAAACAATCGGCTCCTTTCGGAGACGTTTAATGTTAGAGTGCAAGAACGACAGTGTAAGTGTTTGAAAATTTTTAAGCGAAGAGTGACAGTGGTATAATGAAGATGAGTTTGTGCATAAAAGTCAATCGGCTGCTTTCAAAGATGTGTATTGATAGAACGTAGGAACAACAATCTTAGTGTGTTAAAATTTTTAAGAGTGACAATGATCGTGCGGTGGATCCCTGGACGGAAGATCAGCTGTGGCCTACCTGCGAGCCGCAAAGACGCTGACCCATTGACCGTGGCCCATCGTGAGTAGGTGCACTTGCGAATGAATGGGTAAGTCTAAATCTCTACAGTTTTTACATTTTCTTTTTAATTCAATATTCCCTGCGACTTGTTAATTTCTCATTTATCCTATCATCATCCATCAATTATCAACAATGTATCCCACCCATTCCACGTGAATAACGATTAAGTGTATTAATTGTTATTCATAATAACGCACGAACAACAATTTCCTTGCATTGTTATTCATATAGTTTGTTATTCGTAATTTTCTTAAAACGCTTCGTACTGAGCGGAGCGCTTGTTCAAACGCGTGAAAAGCCGGCCGCCTGACTCGGAGCCAGCGCTCCCGAAACGGAGACCGCCTCAACCGAGCGCTCTGATTGGTCCGTGTTTTTCGTTAATAACTCGGTAACCAAGTCCCATTTCCTATTTTGCCAAAGGAAATTGTTGGTCAGGAAGACCCTCCCAATCTGCCATTTTCGGCTCTAACACTTTTTCTGGGACACCCTGTATATGTATAAGTATCGGGATGATTATACGGTTCATCCGCTTCACTTGTCCGTTTCCTCTTGACACATCAGCACATGCTCTATCTTCTTTTTGGCACAGTAGTCCCGGAAATCATTCTAAGTGATTGCTGGGCCGCGATCACTAACAATTCGCTGGGGATTTCCGATGATCTTGGTTTTTTAACTTATCTAATACTTCCCGGGCATTGGTCGTCTTCGTTTAATAGATCCACGTGAATTTCGAGAATCCATTCACAACGATAAATAAATGTTTATACATTTTCGATGTTGCTATCATCGGTCCCAAGTGGTCGACGTAATAAGTCGACAATGGTGCGGGCATGACCTCGTTTTTAACTGTGCGAAATCTTTCAAAACTTATTTGTTCTTGTCCAATCTCTTCTATCAGTTCTTCTAGAGGGTCATCCCAATTGGAGATCACCCCGATTTTTCCTCCATTATTCTCGGAATGTATGCATCAAAATCTTCACGATTGTTTATATTTTAGAATAATTTCATTCGCTATTCCTCTGTTCGATAATGTTACCTCTGCTCTAAATTTGTTAGCTAGTTTAATAGTTATCAAATGTTTCTTAAACTCATTTAAATATCTGTAGAATTTGATGGCATTTTGTCCCATATTATTATTCAATCTGGAATTTCTTACTACGAATTCTATTACATATTCTTTTGTATGTTCATTTTTAAATATTTTGGTCTCTCTCTTTCTCTCTCTCGTCTGTCTTCTGTATACATGTTTGGCACGACTGTTTGTTCCGAATTTGTGCTGCGTTCTTTATATTATTCTATTATATTTACTTTACTTTTGTCCATTCTTTCATATCTACTAAATTTATCGGATTCCATTCTACTACTACCTTTCTTAACCCCTTTTCATTCACATACGATGTACATTTTGCACTCACTTTCTCTCTTTTGCTTGCAGATTCCTTAATGGTATCTCTTCTTTTCGTTACAGGCACTTTGTTTTCATTCCCCTTCAGAAACGTAGGTTTCGTTCTTGTGATCTAAGATCTATTTCCGCCATTCTACTGATCTAAGATCATTTTCTCCCTACGAATCATCTATTTCTTTGGGCTTACAATTAGGGAAAGTGAAACTATACAAATTTATTTTTATGTCCCGCCTCCGAGACCACGCAGGAAGCGTTCATAATCTGTGAAAGTGCGTGTTTTTTCTTCAAATTAGCAATAATTTAATGGGCGTCATGTCTTTCCACCTTTACTTTAGATGAATCTTGAGACAAATATCTAACTAGTTAAAGTATGTTCTGATTTCTAACACTTCATTTTATCCTTCAATTCGCATTTGCGATTTACAATACGTTCGTCTCTAAAGCACTACTTTCATTGAATGGCTCGACAGACTCTTCGAAACCTTACACCGTTTCTTATAGCCTGTTATAAATAATATCGCGATTTCCAGCAATTATTAAGGCCGAGCAAAGATCTTAAAGCTTTCAATTGTTAATCTTCAAACGAAAGGAAAACCTTGAAAATCTCTTTTGTTTATAAGATTATGGTCTTATACCTTGCCCTGACTTAATTAAAAT